CATTCCTGGAGGAGGTCTGGTGCTGCCCTGACCTAGGTTTTCGTTTCTCCGTTCTCTTTCTGGCAAACTCCTGCCGATCCTTCAAGGTCAACACAAACTTCTCTCCCTTCCACATCTCCTCGACACTTCCCGCTCTGTTCTGAGCTCTCAGCGCCCGGGGCCAGTATCACTCATCTCTCCAGAGTCCAGAGCTCAAAACCAGGGATGTTCCTGGGCTCTGGGACTCGGCCCACCCCGCGGTGTTCGTGGGGAAAATGACTCCGAGCAGGGGAGGGTCTGGACCCAGCGGACCAGACGGGACCCAGGGCAGGGACCTCGCCCTCCGCTTGACCTCTAAGTTGGCCTCTACGGGGGTTGTCGTGGCCGAGCGCACTGGCACCAAGCCCCCCACCAGGAGTCCCTCCCGCGCCCTGGCTACCCGCACCTGAAGCGCTCGTGGCCCGCGGTGTCCCAGAGCTGCAGCTTGACCCGCGGCCCGGCCCGCAGCTGCAGCGCGCGGCGGTAGCACTCGGCGCCCACAGTGGGCTCAGGCTCGGGCTCGGGCTCCGGGGCGCCAGGCGCGCCCGCCACGTAACTCCTCAGCAGCGACGTCTTGCCCACCGCCGCGTCCCCTAGCAGCGCAACCCGAAATTGGTAGCGGCAGCCCTCGCCCTCCATGGCCGCGTCCGCCGCCCCGCCGCCCCGCGGCCTTTTTGTCCGCGCCCCGCCCCTGCCGCGCACCGCCCCCTGCTCCCGGCGCCCTACCACCGCCCCTGGCGGGGCACCGAGGTGGTCGGACCGAGAGGAAACTCCCGGCAAAGTTTCTCTCTCTCGAAGCCTCAGTTCTCTCCTCTGTAAAAGGGGGCTAATGATGACCCCTACTTCACAGGATAAAGGGACTAAACTAGATGAAGTGGGGAGGGTCCTCACTCATTCCTTCATCTCCAGCCCCACCCCCTTACCCGCTCCACCCCGCCCGCCGTGGGTTCCCTAGTTGGCCCCCACCCCTCAGCTGGACCCGGGAAGGCCACTCGGGAAGTGAGTGGTTTGTAGGTGCTCCCTCTCCACCCAGAAGCCCTTCCCTGGAGCCCTCATTAGCCCTGGCCTGGGGCCTCTAGTTCAATGTTCAGGTTCAACATTCAACAGCACCCACGGCTTCCTCCAATGCCTGTCTGAGTTGGACACCAGGGCCCCAGAAGGAACTTGGGCACAGTCTGGTTGAGGAGGCAGGACAGACACAGACAACTGCAATTCTAAAGGGAGTGCAGTTGGCCTGTGGATTTGGCAGCTAATATGTATGAGGCCAAAGGTCAGTTCATGTTTTGTGGACAGCAACCCTTTGATAGGGCCATGGGAGTGCCCCTCTTAGCGCTGAGAAGACTGAGGCTCAGAGGCACGGCTTGTCCCAGGTCACACAGCAGAGTTGGGACTCACATCCAGGTTTGTCTCATCCTTCGTCACCGATTTGATACCACAAAAGGGGACAAAGCAGGTCCCACGAGCACTAAGACACTGGTTGAGTTTTGTTTGGGTGAGGGGCTAGGGTGAGGCAGCACACGAGCCTCCAAAGTTTACTCCATCCTTTCCAGGCTGGCATTCTGGAAACCCAGGGCACTGAGGCTGGAGGTCCAGTTGCTCCAGACAACTCTAGTCTCTCTAGTCTTTTATTTATTTATTTATTTATTTTTAGATGGAGTCTCACTCTGTTGCCCAGGCTAGAGTGCAGTGGCAGGATCTCGGCTCACGGCAACCTCTACCTCCTGGGTCCAAGCTATCCTCCCAACTCAGCCTCCCAAGTAGCTGGGATTACAGGCACAACGCCCAGCTAATTTTTGTATTTTTAGTAGAGACAGGGTTTCACCATGTTAGCCAAGGTGGTCTTGAACTCCTGACCTCAAGTGATCTGCCCGCCTCCATCTCCCAAAGCGCTGGGATTATATATGTGAACCACCATGTCCGGCCCACATGTATTTCTGACCACCTCTAATGTCAGTCTCTCTCCTAGGCTGCAGGTTCCTTGAGGGCAGGGGTGATGATTATATCCTCAGGGCCTAACTCAGCGCTTGGCATAAAGTAGAAACTCAAGGCGCAGTGGCTCACATCTGTAATCCCAGCACTTTTGGAGGCTAAGGCGGGTGGATCACTTCAGGTCAGGGGTTCAAGACCAGTCTGGCCAACATGGTGAAACTCTGTTTTTACTAAAAATACAAAAATTAGCCAGGCATGGTGGCATGTGCCTATAATCCCATCTACTTGGGAGGCTGAGGCAGGAGAATCGCTTGAACCCGAGAGGAGCTTGCAGTGAGCCAAGATCGCATCACTGCACTCTAGCCTGGGTGACAGAGCGAGACTCTGTCTCAAAAAAAAAAAAATAAAATAATAAGCTCAGTAAATATTTATAGCTAGATGAATTAATGAAAGTGGATAAGTGCTGTTCATTCACCCATCCATTCATTCAGTCAAACACCATGATGGAGCTGGACTTAGGAAGCCAAAGGGTCAGAGAAGCCCATCCCAGCTGATGTTGAAGCTGGGTCTCCAAGGATAAGCGGGATCTGGGAAGGTCAAGGAGAAAGGAGACTCTAGAGAGGCATGAAGCAGCTGGAAATGCAGTCTGACCCCAGCTCTCCCTGAGGACTTTCCGGTCAGCCCACGTGGGCAATGCACTGTCAGCATCTGGCTTCTTGAACTTCCTCCCTCTCCCTGCTCCTACTGTGGGCTGGGATCATGTGCCTGCCTCTGACTGCAGTTAAATCCAGATGTCAGCTGACCTCTGCCACAGATTCACTGTATAACCTGGGGTAAGTTATTTCCCTTCCCTAATCCCTGCTTCCTCTTCTGCTAAGTCAGGCAAATCATGGTACCTACCTCAGGGTAGTTCTGGAGGAGCCGCGTGACACAGCAGTTAAGGTTATCTGCATTTGCATTAGAACAGATCTGGGTTGGGCCGGGCGTGGTGGCTCAGGCCTGTAATCCCAGCGCTTTGGGAGGCTGAGGTGGGTGGATCAGGAGGTCACAACCATCCTGGCCAACATGGTGAAACCCCGTGTCTACTAAAAATATAAAAATTAGCTGGGCGTGATGGCACGCGCCTATAGTCTTCTGGGTTTTTGACAGCTTTATTGAGGAATAATTGACACATAATAAACTGCACAAGCCTGGGCAACAAAGCAAGACTTCATCTCAAAAAAAAAACAAAAAGTTTAATAATTTTAATTTTAATTTTTTTTTTTTTTCAGACGGTGTCTCGCTCTTGTCGCCCAGGCTGGAGTGTAATGGCTCCATCTTGGCTCACTTTGAACCTCCACTTCCTGGGTTCAAATGATTCTCTTGCCCCAGCCTCCTAAGTAGCTGGGATTACAGGCGCCCGCCACCATGACCAGCTATTTTTTGTATTTTTGGTAGAGACGGGTTTTCATCATGTTGGCTAGGCTGGACTTGAACTCCTGACCTCAGGTCATCCACCCCCCCTTGGCCTCCCAAAGTGCTGGAATGACAGGTGTGAGCCACCACGCCTGGCCTAATTATTAAGCTTTTAGAGCATAAACTACAAAAGAAAAAACTGGCATATTAGACTTCGTAAAAATTAAAAACTTTTAGCAGGCTGGCTGACAAGTGGAGACCAGACTGTCGGGAGCAACAGCAGGATCTGGGAGATAGGAGACTGTTGCTATCATCTGGGTCAAGGATTAGGGTAATATCAGTGGAAGGGGTAAGAAACAGATTATTGATACATTTTAAAGGTAGAGCACACAGGAGTTGCTGATGGCTTGGACACCTGATGTTAGAGAAAGAGAGGAGTCCAGGACCACAGGGCATGCCCACCCACGACCTGCTAAAGTAGTACCTACTTTTTAAAGTGTAAGCAAGGAAAGTTGGCCTGCACCTGTAGTCCCATCTACCTGGGAGGCTGGGGTGGGAGAATTGCTTGAGCCCAGTTGGTCGAGGCTGCAATGAGCCTTGATCAGGCCACTGCACTCCAGCCTGGGCAACAGAACAACACCCTGTCTCAAAGAAAAAAGTGTATGTAAGAATAAAAATTAAGCGGAGCGCGGTGACTCACTCCTGTAATCCCAGCACTTTGGGAGGCCGAGACGGGCGGATCACGAGGTCAGGAGATCGAGACCATCCTGGCTAACACGGTGAAACCCCGTCTCTACTAAAAATTCCAAAAAACTAGCCGGGCGTGGTGGCGGGCGCCTGTAGTCCCAGCTACTCGGGAGGCTGAGGCAGGAGAATGGCGTAAACCCGGGAGGCGGAGCTTGCAGTGAGCTGAGATCTGGCCGCTGCACTCCAGCCTGGGCGACAGAGCGAGACTCCGTCTCAAAAAAAAAATAAAATAAAATAAAAATTAATAGATTAGGCACAGGATGGGTGTTTAATTCTCGGCAATCACCACTAAGTTTTCATACTGAGGCTTATTCATTCCATGCACAAAACATTGCGCTATGTGTGGTGCCTGGGGTGGGCTCCAAATTCCAGTCCTCTCCTCACTTGCAATAGCTGTGTGATCCATTCCTAAGTTTCCTTATTTTTATGTATTTATTTATTTACATTTTTGAGACAGAGTCTCGCTCTGTCACCCAGGCTGGAGTGCAGTGGCATGATCTCGGCTCACTGCAACCTCCGCCTCCCAAGTTCAAGCGATTCTCCTGCCTCAGCCTCCTGAGTAGCTGGTATTACAGGCGCGCACGATCACGCCCGGCTAATTTTCGTATTTTTAGTAGAGACGGGGTTTCACAGTGTTGGCCAGGCTGGTCTCAAACTCCTGACCTTGTGATCCGCCCACCTCGGCCTCCCAAAGTGCTGGGATTACAGGCATGAGCCACTGCGCCCGGCCAAGTTTCCTTATTTGTCAGAGCATACACAGGGTTTTTATGAAAACTAGATCAGATAATCAGGCACAGTTTAAATAGCAAGCGCTCAGTAAAATTATATATTAGTGAAAGAGACAAGCCTTGAATATAGAAATTGCCTTTCGGGGAGTATGACCCCCTCCCCGAAACCCATTCAGGCGCTGCTCGCTCGCACTCCCACAGAACTGTGAGCAGAGCCCAAGCCCTTTCCCAGCACACGGGGTTCATTTCCAGACTTTGAAAGATATCCCGGAGACAACTCCAGAGGCCAAGGCGGGTCGGCTTCCTGCGTGGGCCCAGTGCTGAGCACTGAAAGGTGAAGGCGCTTCTTCCCGCTCGGAGGAAAGCCTCCGGCGGTTCGCGCTTCGCGGGCTGGGGATGGAAACGCGCGTAGGGCTGGGGAGGTGACGCGCGGACAACGCAGGGGCGAGCAAACTACAATTCCCAGGCAGCTGTGCGCCACGCGCGCGGCCGACTGTCGGGCGTGACCGCGAGGGGCAGCCTATATAAGCTCTTGCACGCAGCTGCGGCGCCCTTTTTCCCCGCCGCAACCTTGTTGCGGGCTTACCATATTTAAGGCTCTTCTTACCTCCCTGCAAGCCATAGCCCGCTAGTTGCTGCTACCAGCCCGCACTCGCCGGGGCTTTCTCCCAAGGCCTCGATATGGTGGTGAACGTGGCACGGAGGAGTCGGACCTTCCTTCCCAGTGGGCCCGAGTTCCAGAAGGGACCCTCGGTCTTGAGAGGGGTTGGATCCCGCTGGGGCCGCGCCCTTCTCTCGCTTCGGCCTGCGCAACTCTGCGCTCTGGGCTGACAGGTGAGTGTTGCCGGCAGGCGGCCGGGTTTACGGAAGGGGTTTTGGGACCGGTCTCCTGGGGGATGCGGGGATGAAGCCCTGGGCCTGAAGTGTCTTAATTTGGGGGAGGCCGCATGCTGGTGTCAGGATGGCCTCCAGTTGAATCTATGACAGTTACCAGCTAGGTGATTTTGGGACTAGTGACTGCACGCGAGGCCTCTGGAGGTCGCCCTCGTGGACACGCTTTTCAGAAGGACGGGTTTTAGGCATTCAGACCCTTGTGTGCATCCCGGCTTGTTGCTTTCAGCCTCGCTGAGTGACTAAGCGACCTTCAGCAAGTAACTTAATCGGTCTAAACCTCTTATCTGTAATAGGCGGATAAAAAGATCCCATCAAGATTGAGAAAAAGCACACCAAATATTGGCACAGCGTGGGCAGTGGGGCCTACAGGATGACTGATTTAGTCAACAGAGATTCCGGCGCACTTCAGCAGGTAGTAATGATGGACAGGTGAGGCTTTAGGTGGCTGCCCTGGGATCTGAATTGCCCCTTGGCCCTTATCGAAGCTGCAGCTGCTTCCGCATAGCTGCTGTGGTCAAAAAGGAGCCCAGAGTGACAGTTTTCCTTGACGGTCGCCGTTCTGTTTGTTGTAACTGATCTGCAACATTTTGGGAAAATACAGTTTCATTATACTTGCTATCTTTCAGCTGTAGCCAGAGACCTTTATCAAAATGGGCCTGTTTTCACAGACCAGCAGAACGGTTGGGGGTTTGCATGTACAGTTAACCAGCATAAGATTCCCGTACTGGGAAAATCCAGCTGGGATGTGACACAGCTTAACTGATAGCATCAGTATTCGGACCAAAGGCTGGTTAGATTTGTATCGTTCTGAGGACCAAATGATGGGACCAATAAAATTGTTCTTGACAGTTGTTCTCATTTTGCTGTCCAGATGAAGACTCTGAGATGACAGAAGGTGATCTGTCTGGTGATCGAGGACTCCCGGGGTCACATCAGTGATGAAATGCAGGGGACCTGGTAGGTTTCTTTTGGAGACTGACTGGGGGTCCCTGGTGGGACAGAACAGCATGTTTCCAAGGGCTGTGGCTGGTGGTAGCCATGGGATCTCCAACTGCATGCAAGAGCAACCTGGAAAGACTTTGACAGCGCAGGTCAGTACAATACCTGCAAGCTGC